CTTTAACGGTGAGGCCACCAGTTCCGGGGAGCTACTCAAAGAGCTGGAGCACTTGCTTTGTATCAACTGCCTCAGAGCCTGGAACCTTCCATTCCAGGCTCCCTCTGGTTCCATCTCTTATCTCGCAGACCTGCAGACTACCTGGAAGCTTCTGACTGAGGATCCTGCTATCTCTGCATGGCTCACATGGGTTGCTTCTTGACATAGGGACCCTATCCCAGTTTGTCTCTTCTTGTGACAAAACCCCATGACATCACCTTCCCCCTCCCCCCGCCCTGAGGGTCCCCTGCACCCACTTTCCGGGCTCTCTGGCCCTGCCCATCAGCCCAGCTGTTGCTCTGTAATTGCAAGCTCCAGCCTATAGACCTTTGAATCTTTGATTGGAGGCGTTCCAGCAACCAGGTCCAAGGAGTGTTAAGTGACTGTCGCTTTGACACAGATGGGCAGGAAACGTCTGGGGACCAGTAGGCAGCCCAGAGGCTGGCGATCACTGCGCTTGATTCTGTGATTTGTTCTAAGATGAAGTGATCAGGATGAGAGGTCATTCTTTCCTTCTCTGTTCGCCCCTGTTTCCCCAAGGAAAAGCAAAAATTTTAGGTCACCAAAAATAAATAAATAAATAAATAAACAAACAAACTAACCTTGTGGAGAATGGAAGGGAGGGATGCCAGGAGGTTTTGGTTCAAGTCCTGGGTCTGCGGCTCACTGTCTGTCATGAACTCGGTCAAGTTGCTGAACTTGCTGATAGAATGGAAGAACTCATGCTTCCCGAGTGCTTTCCCTAGAGTCTTGTCAAGTGGGCAAATGGCGAAGCTGCCACCTGGGGCTGTGCTGCAGATGCTGGAGCCACTGTGGCAATTAGCCCTGACCTATGCCTACCCAGACAGAGAAGCTGGTTGCTTATGGTCCTCCCTGGCCCCAGGGTGGGCCTGAACTCGCAAATAGAACGGCGTGTGAGGTGTGCTTCAGAGCTCCCTCACAACACGCTCCTTGAGAAGCACCCTCTGAGTTTTCAACCCTTTATTCAAGGTCACACAGTCAGGACTTCTCCAAGGTCTGGGTGAAGACACTCACCGTCAGAGTCGTTACACTGCATTTTTGCTGGAAGGTAATTGTTGCCATCTCTGCTGGACTGCACAATTGGAGAAATAATTTGCACAGGCATCAATTGCCACCATGACCGAGGCATGATGCATAATTATCTCAAGTGGAAACTGTGATTGAGTCTTTTGAATGGAGGACTGATTTGGAGGGGCCGCAAATGAGCTGCCACCTCCCCGGCCCTTTGTGGCAGCTAGATGTTGGGGAGGGGGGATGTAATCAGCCTCAGCCTGTTTCCAAACACCCTTCCTCCAAGTTCCAGTTGGTTCAAAGTCCTGGCTCTGGTCTTGAGACCCCAAAGAGGAGCTGGAGAGATACGAAGCCTTTGCTTTGTGTGCAGTTACACCCTTCCTCAACGATCCAACATCCCCTGACAGTGCTGGGTGTGGCTTACTGTTCTCTCCCCGTTAAAAATAAATAAATAAAAGAGTCTTTCCCCTTACCAGACACAATTCCAATTTTAAGTGCCTTTAGTCTTTGCTTTAGGGCTTTGTTGCTCAAGGACCACTCCTGGGGGTGCTCAGAGGACCATGCAACACCATAGAGGGAAACCAGCCCTCCTGCAGAGAAAGCGCATCTCAGCCTGTGGCTCAGTACCCAATCCCACAATCATATTTTAGAAGGAACGTTCCTCCCTCGGCTTTGTTTTCTGATTGCAGAGGAATCAGTGTTATGGGGAGTAATTCATCTGCACCCCCCACAACTGCCTTTCCCCGCCCCCCGCCCTCCTTTCTACCCAGTTTCACCCAGGAAGCGCTGGTTCTGTTTGTGCCAGAAGAGGAAGGAAATGGCGGACCCACGTCTGCCTTCTCCTTCACATGAATGACCTCAAGCAGGAGGGGAATAGAGCGCTTGCCCTCACCGGGGCCAAGTCTGTGCTACACATGGGCCCAGAGGCTACACTTTCAATACTTCTGAGGAGTTGATGATGGCATCTGTGACATGGGAGTCTTTCATCCTGAGGCAAGGGTACAAGTTCTGCCAGGCTTTTGTACCATCTGGAAACAACACTGGGAATCATATTTGCAGGTCCACAAATGTTCCTTGATTGTTCCATGGCATGAAAGACTTAATTTGAGACTTAGTGAACAGGGCAGACTCAAGAAGGCTGAGGGAACATGACCTACAACAACAGAATGTGCCGAGTTTCAGCAAAACATCCACATTCAGCAAGGGCCCAGGGCTCTGGGAGCTAGGACCAGGGTTCATGGGGAATTCACCCACTTCATTGGAGCCCTCCAGCAAGCCAGTATCATGTCACAGTTTTCCTTGGCTGCATCAACCTTGTTTGTGTCTCCCGAGACACAGTGTTGGAAGAAACATCATGAGCCGGGAGTAGATGACCCAGGTCTGGAAGGAGTCCCAGGAAGGAAAGCGGTGGAAAATTGACTTCAAGTCTGTGTGGATGTGTGTGTGGGTGTGTGTGCGTGTGTGGATGTGTGTGCATGTGGGTGTACTCCGGGAGTCGAACCCAGAGCCTCATATACTTAAGGATTGTGTTTACCAGACAATTATACCCCTGGGGCTGAATTACTGGCTTTTGATTCAGTCTGAGCAGTTCCAATCCTTGTCATTCACTGTGAGAACTTTATAGCTTCCTTGAGTCTCGGTTTGATAATAACTATTCTGTAAGATTGTTATAAAAATCACCAAGACATGTAAAGCATAAAAAAAAAGCTGGTCCACAGCTAGGGCAAAAATTGCTGTGAGGAATATCTGTAAAATAAGGCCATTTAGGATGCCAGCTTTGCGGTGGGGTGTGGAGAGTGAGCACGCTGTCTGGCCCAGTTGTTTAATAAGTGCTGCTTCACCATTCACTCCATGCCCGACCTTCAGCAAAGTCATGCTGCCATCAGTAGAGTGGTAAAATGGGGAGCATTTATACTCCATTCTTGCCTTTTGGGGGGTGGGGGGTGGGGTTGGAAATTTGGGCCACCTCCAGAAATGCTCAGGACTTACTCTTGGCCCTGCACTCAGGGATCACTCCTGGCAGACTTAGGAGACCATATAGGCTGGTGGGGATCCAACCCAGGTCAGCCTGTGTGCAAGACAAGCCCCCCGACTGCTGTGCTATCCAGCCCCTTGTCTGCAGTGGCCACCGGAGAGAATCCCAAGTATATCCTTGAATTTGGAGGGGCTGTGCTAAAGCCACACACTGTGCACTGGAGTCCAGAAAGGGACTAACGGGACTAATGTGAGATGTGTTGAACTGCAGGAGGGGTGGGGAGTGGGTTCTAGCTGTCTTTTGCCGACCTACTGGCCTTAAGCAAATTACCAAGTAATCAGACCCTGGCTGACTTTGGAGGGCTGTTAACCTCTCAGCGGCTGAGAAAATAAAAACGTGAAAAATTGTTTTTGTTCCTTGAAGGTCAAGTTATTCTTTCCATTTTATTTTTATTAAAAATAATTTTGTTTTGTTTCATTTTGGGGTCACACTGAGCGGTGCTTGGGAGTTGCTCTCAACTCAGTGCTTAGGGGTGACCCCTGGGGGCACAGGGCTGAGGAGAGGGCAGGAACCCTGCAGTGTCCTGGCTGGAACCCAGACCCCCCACAGGGAAAGCACATACTCACTCAACCCGTTGAGCCATCTCTCCAGTCCTGTTTACCCATCTTAATCTTTGGACCCCCAGTGTCCCGGGCCTGGAGTGAACACTTAATTTTTTTTTTATGTCTAATGTATTATAAATAATTCAAAGTCCTATTTTCAACTGTAAATTAGCCTTTTAAAAAAAAACAAATTAATTTTTCAGTTGGGGGGTTCAGTGCTAATTCTGGCAAGTCACTGCATATTGTTTCACGGTCTTGTCTTTCATGCTATCTTAACATACTCAGAAACATTTGGATACAACAGAAACAGAAAACAAAACCCACAGTGAAAAAGGAAGCAGTTCGAGTAAGGCAGCTGCAAAGGGAAAGTTCCACAATCCCTCCAATGCCCATCTCCATCTCAGGTTAGGGTCCCAGTCTTTGGGTTCCTTGCCATTCTGTGGAGCCACTTTACAGACATCATCCTGAGTGACGATGGCAGGGACCCCAGCAGCTATCTAGGTGGCCTTTCCTGGCTGTCAGATTGTGAGGGACACCTTACGAGTCTCCTGATAAGGCAAAAATGTGACCAGCAGAAACAGGGATGAGGAGCCCTGGCTTCCACAGGAGACTTTTGATGTTCCACCCACATGACATACCGTTCCAGCTCACTTGCAGATTGTGGTGTTGGGGGCTTTGGTAGAAGAGGAAACCTTGTCAAGGGAGATGGAGAATAAAACACAAATAGTCAACACCAGTGCTTGAGCAATGAGATATGCCCTGGAATGAGCACAGGCAAAGGGCAGTGTTTTTCAGACCTGCCTGGTCAGGTTTTCTTCCCACGGTAGTGAAGAGCATCTTAAGTGTTTTTTGGTGGGGCCAGAGCCCTGGTACAGCAGAATTGATCCCACGTACCTTATATCACCTTGGGTGCAGAGCCAGGAGTAATCCCCGAGTACCACCAGGTGTAGCCCAAAAGCAAAAAAACAAAGTCTTTTTGATTTCTGGGCCATACTCAGCAGTGTTCAGGAGCTACTCCCAGCTCAGAAACTGCTCACCGTGGTGAGTCATGAAATGCAGGGGCTTGGATTTGGGCCTCCCCCATGGGCTTCAGACCCCTGAGCTATCTCCCCACCCATGCAGGAAATTTTAATGCCCCCACCACCTTTTTTTCCCTCTCCCCTCACCCCAACTTGTCCCCCTTTAGGCAAAGGTAACCTCAGTTGAGTCTCACAATCACCCTAGTTGGGTTCAGAGTGCCCCTGAAACCTGCGACCCACTGCACTGTAATTTCTCAATTCTACTTACTACGCAGTTCGTGACAGCGTGCTGAACATTCTCTTCCCAAGCACTGCAAATAGTCATCACACAAATAAAGCTGCTCAACAAACAATTTATTAAGTGCATCAAGGTATACTGTTTTTTTTTCTCTTATATACTCTATAGCTAAGCAAATATAGCTACATGTCAGTTTTTATTCTTTATGCGGTACCAAAAACAGTGCTGGAAAGGCAGACAATCAACTATTCCCCACCCCCACCCCCTCCTGGCGTCCGCCAAGCACAGCATCACAACGCAGCACACATCTTCAGGATTACAGAAGAAACGGCCACGCTTTCCAACCCGGTTTACAAAACAGCCCCCAAGACGGCCAACAAACCCCCCCTGCAAAAGTAGCCCCATCTCGCGTATAAACGACTTTACAATGTATCAAATACAACGCAGCAAGATACAAAAGCGGCACGCTGGTGACACGGTCACAACTGCGACAGAATCCTCACTCTCCCCTCCCCCCTCCCCCCCTCCCGCCGCTGGGCCGAGTCCGAGGCAGTGGCCTGGCACCCTGGCGGGCGACTTCAGCGCCCACCGCGCTACAAGCGGGTGGCGTGCCTGGCCGCGGCCCGGGCCCTGGCCGTGAAGAAGGCCTCCTCCCTGGCCCTGGCTCGCTCCCTGCAGGCTTCGTCCGCCAGGGCCTCCCGGTACTGCGCCGGCCAGTGTTGCGGCTCCTTCTTCTGCAGCTTGGCCACGAAGCTCAGGACCTGCATCTTGCTGATGTCCTGGCAGCTCCGCAGGCCCCAGGTGAACTCGTACTCCGGGGGGCTGCTGGAGGGCACCTGCCGGTAGTTGAGGAACTGCTGCGCCACGAACTCCTCGGTGAGCAGCTTCTTGGGGTAGCCGAAGTGCTGGTAGTACTTCAGGGGCCACACCCCCAGGCGGCCCAGCAGCTCCCAGACCTGGGCCTCGCGGACGCAGTTGCCCTTCATGTAGATGAGGCCGAGGATGACCACGAGCAGCCCCAGCTTGGCGCTGCCGGCGCCCAGGTCCTGGTCCTGGTCCCCCGCGGCCCGGGGGCTGTTGACCAGCGCGTACGTGCGCTGCTCGAGGTCCAGCAGCTGCAGGTCGAAGCCGAAGTCGCGGCGCAGCTTGGTGGCGGCCCGGGCCAGGATGTCGTCGAACGCGGGCTCCAGGTCCCCGCGCACCACGCGCAGCATCTCGGCTCGCGAGATGGGGCTCTGCCGCCCGCCCTTGAGCAGCAGGAACTGCACCAGCGCGGCCACCGTGCGCTCCAGCCGCCGGTTGGGCCGCCGCTGCCCGGCGGCCTCCAGGGCCGGCTCGGCCGCGGCCGGGGCGCGCTCGGCGGCCCCGTCGCCCCGCTCCGCCGGGCTCCCCGGGGCGTCCTCAGCCCGCGGGCTGGGCAGCGCCCAGCTCTCGGCCCGCTGCACCATGGCTACCGGCGGGCGAGGGGCGAGGGCGGGAGGCGCCGGGCGACGGCGGGCGGCGGGGCTGCAGGGCCGCCGACGCTCGCCGCCACGCCCGCCGCCGCCGCGAGAGCCGCAGTGCGGCGCAGCCTCAGTCCGCGCCCGCCGGCCGCCGGGCGGGGGGGGCCCTCCGCTCCGGGCCAAGATGGCGGCGCCCGCCGGGCCGCCGGAAGTTCCGCCTCTTCCGGTTCCGGGGCGGGGCCGCCGGCGGGCGTTTCTGAGTGCGGGGCTGGCTGGGAGGGGCGGGGGTGAGAAAGAGGCGTGCTGTCCCCTGGGGTCCTGGATTTTTTTTGGGGGGGGGGGTGGGAGGCGGGGAGCTGAAAAGGAATTGGTGGGGAAAGGTACCCAGGGAGCCAGGGTTTTCCCAGGCGTGCAGAGAGGAGGAGGTTTCAGCAGAAGGAAGGATGGACTAGGGATGGAGCTGTAGCCACATCCTTTCAGCAGGTGCTAATTTTTAAGTGTGTATCCAGGATCAGGGTGGATTTCTGTGGCTCGAGTGCAGAGATGGGGAGATGGGACTGTAACTGCTGAATTCCTGAAGGGCACTGGACTGGATGGAAGGTAGATGGAAATTTATTCCAAACACGAGCGGAGATTCTAAGCAAAGAGAGTGACCAGATCTTGACCGTTTTTTTCTGCTGCTGATTGGAATGGGGCTGAACAAAAGCGGGGACTCCGGTTTTGAATATTAATTATAGTGTTGAATAGGATCTGAGGTTTGGCCTGCCTTGGTTGATGTAGCTACTGTGCCTGGCATGAGAATATTATCAAATGTTTATGTAAAGGGCTCCATACATTTTATAAACTGAATAATGAAGAGAGCAAGCATAGCAGATTCTACAAGAACGGTTAAAAAAAATAAAGGGGTCGATGAAAGATCTTTTAAAGATGTGAGGCGGCAGAAATAATGACAGGAGATTAGGGAAGATTTGGAGATCTGATGATCTGAAGAATTCCCACCACTTTCCCTTTGGTTTGGGGGCTGTGCTCAGGGTCCACCCAGTCCTGAATCTCTGCTCAGGGGTCACTCCTTGTGGTGCTCAGGGGACCGTGCAGGTTGGCAGTTTTCAAGGCAAGAACCTTACCTGCTACACAATCTCCCTGGCCCTCCCAACTTCTTCCCCCCCCCCCCCACCTTTTCATGCAATATTACTCCTATCTAAAATGCCCTTTTTGGGGTGGGACTCACACCTGGCAATACTCAGGGGTTACTTCTGACTCTGCACTCAGGAATTACTCCTAATTACTCTTGGAGGACCATATGGGGTGCAGGGGATTGAACCCGGGTCAGCCGGTGTGCAAGGCAAACACCCTACCCACTATACTATTGCTTCAGCCTCTAAAATGTCCTTTCTTTCACTTCCATCTCTACATATTGTACTTGCTATCCAGGGCCCAGTTGTTGCTTTTCCAAAGCCTTTCTTAGTCTCCATGCATGGAAGTTAATTTACTGTCATTTCTGATTACAATAAAAATTTCTGCTCATTTGTTTTACTACTCGCTTTATGCTGTTTTGGGGGCCACTCCCTGCAGTGCCCAGGGACTATTTGGTGCCAGGAATCTAATTATGGCATGCACATACAAAGCATGCATACCAACAATTTGAGCCATATCCCCAGCCCAGAAATCCATATTTATTTGACATCTATAGATTTTATTGTGTCATAGGCTCTGTACTAAACACTTTTAAAATTAGTTTCATTGCCATTATGGTAAGTGCAATTAATCCCATTTTATAAATATGTCTTCCCTATGATATTTGCTCTCTAGTTGGCATGTGACATTGGGCAACTTACCTGAACCTCCCACCTAGCTGTTCCCTTGCCAGTGAGATGGGCACACTGATATTTATAACATCATGGAAACTATGTAGTAGCACTTCAAGCATTTGACAGAGCTTGGCACGTATCACATGTTTATTAAATGCTAGCTATGATTTATTGCACATTTTTATGTGCTGATACTGTGCTAAGTACTTGTATATATGTATCCCTCATTCATCCCTTATAAACAGCCTTGTTAGTGAAATGGCATTATTATTCCCATTTTACAAGTGAGGTAACACACAAAATGATTGAATAATTTACGCAACATCACATGATTGCGATTTGAACCCTATAGGTCAACTCCGGAGACCATGCCCTTAACCACTACATTAATAGATGGTAATTATTATTATTATTATTGACTATACTGTGTATTATAATTATTTTGTTCATATCTTATTATCCTTCAAACCAAACATCCTAAAAGTAGAACCTGGCAAAGGTTAATACTTGGTATATAAACCCCTGAATGATGCAGGACGGAATGATGCTTTACCTTTTTTTCATCGGAAATATTGTTTATTTTAATTTCATGCCCGGTAGTACTTTATTAAAGATATGATAATAAACTCTTCATTTAAAATTGTTCTGAAGATAGATGCCCATTCATCCTACGTGACTTACAAAGCCTGAAAGTGGTGAATGAAGCAGGCGCGTGTTTATAATAGTCTGGCTTGAGGCTATTATTAGTTTCCATTGTGCCAAACATTTTATGTACAATATAATTTAGCCCTCACAAATCCCTATTAGGAAGGTATTATTATCCTCATTTTACAAATGGGAAAACAGTCACAGAGAGGTTAAATCACCTTTTCCAAACCACTTACTGTTAAGTGCTAGACCGGAAATGAGAGCCCAGCTCTATTTTGAAGACTGTTCTCCTGACCACAAGGCTTCACTGCCTGGCTAGCTGTTTCTCTCAATAATAGAAGACCACTCCCATATAATTGGAAAATACTAGAGATAATATAATCCACTTATGTATTTTTTTCCACTTTAAGCATTGCCAAGGAGACAGGAGACTGTTCAAGAAAGAAGCATGCAGGTGATTCAGTGACTGGAAATAAATTTGAGGGGAAAATTAGCAGTTTTCTGTCAGGATAACAAAATTTAAACAACCATTAATACAATATGGATAAGTCTGGGAGCTATCATGTTGAGTAAAGGAAGAGCCAACAGATTATATCCATTAAAGGTTCCATCCCATTTCAAATTCAAGGCAAGTTAAATTGATCGATGGTCATGGGAATTAGAACAGAGGAGACGGGGAGTGGGGTTGATTGGAAAGGTGGGTGAAGGGACCTTCTGGGAACAGTGTTCTGTATCTCCATTTGGGTATCAGTGTAGCTTTATCAAAACTTCCCAATTTCTTCCCTGTATTTTCTTGCACCTCGCAGTTTATGAGTCATGCCTCCAAATGATCAAAGTAAAAACAAATTTATGAACGAACTGCACAGACTTCAAGGTAAGGGAGGAACTGAGGGTCTGAAAGGTGAACGAACTTTGCTTTATATATCTCCTGTCAGTCCCTGGATGTTACACTATTATGCCAGCAGGAACTTAATCATTTTTCTAGTTTTATGCTTACCTTGCACTACATAGGCAGTGTTAAAACTCTTAACTAAGCTATTAAAAGGGAAGACATGTGCATCTCCCTGGCTGAGAGTGGGCACAGTGAAACAAATACTTTGGTGGCTATTATTAGATTAAAATCATTTTTTGAGGCAGGATTCTTTGTAGAGTGTGACAGACCCAGTAGTGAGCATCATTTAGTAGAGGGAGCGGAAGAAGGGAGTCACACTTGGAAAGGAAAATTGCAGGATGAGTTATCCTGGCAATTTCCAACACTCCTTAGGTGTCAAAAAGGTGTGTCCTAAAACAAACTAGGTCAGAGCACCTGAGTCCTCCAGTCCCTCCTCACTCATTTGCTCTGTGACCTTTTGCACCTCTCCCAGCCCTTCACCTCACCCGGACACAGTTTCCTCGTGTTTAGGCCCAATCAAAGCTCCTGGCCCTGCCCTTCCCCACAGAATTATTCTGAGATGCAAGTTAAGATGATAAATGTAAGCATACTTTTTTTTTATTGAATCACTGTAATATAGAGCATTACAAAATTTTCCATGATAGTGTTTCTGTCATACAATGTTCCAACACCCAACCCTTTACTAGTGTGATTGTCCAGCACGAGTGTCCCCAGTTTCTCTCCCTCCCCTACAAGCCACCCCCCACCCCAGACTATCTCTATGGAAGACACCTCTCTTCTCTTTCTATCTTTCTTTCTTTCTTTCTTTCTTTCTTTCTTTCTTTCTTTCTTTCTTTTCTCTCTCTTTTCTCTCTCTCTCTCATTTTAGGTAAGAATATTTTTCTTATTTTTTTCTTTTTGGGTCACACCCAGCAATGCTCAGGGGTTACTCCTGGCTCTGCACTCAGGAATTACTCCTGGTGGTGCTGGGGGACCATATGGGATGCTGGGAATCGAACCTGGGTCGGCCGCATGCAAGGCAAATGCCCTACCTGCTGTGCTATCGCTCCAGCCCCTAGGTAAGAATATTTTTAAAGCACTCTACCACCAAGAAACAAATAGAAAAGTTATGGACTTTTTTTTTTTTTAAAGAGAAGTGGTGGAAAGATCTCAGTATTGAGTGTGACTGGCCTCTCAGGCAGACATTTTGGAATGAGCTAACACATTCCTGTTTGGGAAAAAAATGTCTGGCCAAAAGAGATTAAATAAAGAAATGTCAAGGCCCCACACTCCATCTGAAGCAAGTACATGCTTTGGAGGGAGGCCAGGGTTATCTTGTCAGATTCCTGCTAAACTTGGCAATGGAGTCCTCCAAACTCTTGAGTGCCTTCTTCACACAGACGCTGGGTAGCTGCTCACCCTTATCTAAGTGGGTCTCCAAATTGTGTAGGTGCTTGTGACACCCCCACTTCTCTTGAGCATCGTGGAGGTAGCCCTGCGGCCTATCAGAGGTAGAGCTTTGTCCTGTGTTCCCAGGCCAGGGTCAGGCTGGAGTTGGTATATTCCCAGGAGCAAAGGCCTGGGTGTGTGTGTGTGTGTGTGTGTGTGTGTGTGTGTGTGTGTGTGTGTGTGTGTGCGTACAGAGTGTAGGGTAGGAGGCGGGGATTGGGTCCTGAAGTGAGCCAGGGATGGAA